GATGACTGTGACCGTTCTTTGTAGTGGACTGGAGATGGATCCATTTGTCATCTAAACTGGGGTCAAGCAAGGATGCATCACAACCCCAACTCTCCATTTTTTTGTTCTCCATTTTTTTGAATCATGCTGGTTCTCATTAAGCACCACCTTCCTTCTGGAATTGACATTTAATGCCATATGGATGGAGGGCTCTTCAACCTGAGACTTTTTTGCTCAAAGACAAAAGTATTCCAAATTACCATCCTTGACCTTCAATATGCCGATGACTGTGCCATTCTTGCGCACACTGAAGAAAACCTCCTGACTGCACTGGATCTTTTCAGAGACGCCTACCAAACTTTGGGCCTCTCTTTCAACATCAAGAAGCCTAAAGTGCTGTATTGACCTAAACCAGGCCGTGAATGTAACCTCTCCCCACAAATTACCATCAAGGGAAAGACTCTGGAGGTAGACAAGCACTTCTCCTAGATCAGTAGCCATCTCTCTCAGAGACTGAATATCAGAGATACTGGTTTTCCCTGATAAAAAAAAATCACAAATGATGTGATAAAAAATTGCAAATTCTCTGATTAAAACCCCCAAATCCATGATTAAAACAAAAGGCCACTATAGATATAGGTACCAGTTAAACGCAATGTTTTCTTGATACATTTACAATTTTAAAGCAATTTGGAAGCCTACCAGTGCCTCAATCACTATAATAAAATGAATTATAAATGCCTAAAAATTTTGGTATTTGATTTTGGGTTTTTTATCATGGAAAATCAGAGCTCCCTCTACACCCTTAGCTCACATAATGCAGGTCCAGGTTCCTAACTACCAAGCCACAGCCCCCTGGCCCTGCTGATGCCCCTCACTCCCACCCCCCTCACAGCCTCCTAGCTCTGGCAACGTGTCCCCTGCCTGTGTGGCAGCAGCAGCAGTGGCAACACGGGCAGGGGATACCTTGCTAGGGCAGCATGGAGCTCACAATAACAAGGTTCCCTGCACAGCCCCATTCTGCCCTGCCATGCTGAGGCACACCTGCTGGGCTGTGGAGGCCCCAGGGAGGGCAGCAGGCTAGAGAGCCTGAGCCCACAGCAGGTAGCCCACACATGCCCCCACCCCATAAACAGATCTGGGAGGCAGAGGGTCACCCCTGCCCCCCAGGAGTGCATGCAGGGTTGGAGAGCTAGCCCCACCCCCAGCCCCTGGATCAGCCGCCCACAACCCTGTCCCACTCCCCACCAGGGCCCTGTGGGCACATATTCCAGCCCCAGGCCCTGGGTCCCAAACCCTATGCACTCCCAGGCTGGGTAGCAGTCCCAGCCCCCTGCCTCCCTATGGGGACCTCACTTCCTCCCCCTCCCCCACCCCCATGCAAGACTTACCTGTGGGAGCTGCTCTCCAGGCTTCCTGGTGGCCATGTGCATATACAAGCACATAGCACCCCCCGCCTAACCACTCTCCTCCTGTTCCCTCCCAGCCCCTTGCAGGCTGGAACTATGCCAGCCTGCAGAGAACTCTCTGCAAAAGTGCAAAACCCATAGTTTTCTCCATTGAACTGAAAAGTCTGCTTTTTCCTCAAGTAAAGCGGGGAATCCGCATTTTCCTCCATTTTCCCATGGGAAATGGAAAACTCAGATCTCTGCTGAACATTGATGAGGAGGTCAGTATAGGATCTTGTGCACAAGTTCCTCCTTTGGAAAATTGCTTCAGCCTGTCTTTATTCATCGCAATCTCCAGAAAGATACCAAGATTCAGGTCTACAATGTAGTCATCAGCTTCACTCTCCTCTACAGAGGTGAAACATGGGTGACTGATCATTGTTATCACAAGAGCCTGGAGAGGTATCACCAATGATGTCCCCAAAAAATCCTCCACATCAAATGGGAAGGTCACTGCATCAAATGGGAACACCAGCATCCTTACTGAAGCCAATGTTACCATCATTGACTCAGTAACCCTCAAGCATTAACTTTGCTGGACTGGACATGGAGTGCAGATGTCTGACTCAACTCCCAAAACAAGTGATCTACTCTCAGTTTAGTAACAGTCTGAGACCTTCTGGTGGCCAGAGTAAGCATGACAGGGACATATTGAAGGCATACCTCAAGAAAACAGAAGTCAACATCAAGAGTTGAGTGGAGCTGGCTGTCAACTGACCCCAATGGTGACACAGCCTCAACCAAGCAAGAGCCTGTTTTGAGGTGAAGTGTCTTTTCTCTCAAAGCAGAAGAGAGAGAGCAGAAGAAGGAAAAAGAGAGGAATGCCAGCCCGCAGCCCACTCTCCCCTGTACAAAGACCTGGAACTGCTGCAGATGGATCTGTGGCTCAAAGATTGGACTCTTAAGTCATCTCAAATCCTGTCAATGAGCCATCATAGAGATTATCCTCAAATTGAGGGATTGCCAACAACAATGTACAGGAATTTTAACTGCTGTGTTATTACACTGCTGTAATCCTTTTGAGATAATCCTGAACATACTTTTTATTTATTGGCCTAAACTGAACTCACAGTTGTGGATAAAAAAATTTTATTTAAAAAAAAAATCACAGTTTCCTTAATCTTCAGATACTCTCTCAATAATCCATTGATCTATTGCTCCTTAAGATCTCATTTTCCTGAGTTATCAAATGAAATGAAAGATTATGTGACGGTTAGCCAAACATCTCCCTGAAGCTTGCCAATTTGGGCTCTAGTAAACTGTTAGGGGAAGTGAGTTTTTGAAGGAAATGGTCTCAAAGCTGAGAAGATTTACAATGGTAAACCAAAGAGCTTCAACAAAAATAAATTGTGTCCCCTTACCCACTGTAACAAGATATAGCATTGTTAGCGTAGCTAACTTACAAGGTTAGGATTCTAAGGGTGATGTGGAAGTAACCTGGTGCGGTGAGCTGAATGTTACTGTGTGAGCCAAGGACTCCAGTTCTGTTTTTGGTTCTACCAAAAATTCACGGCTTGACACTTGGGCAAGTCACTATGTACTTCTTCAGGCTGCAACAAAATAGAGATATTGCCTATCCTGTTTGTAAAGCACCTGGAAAGGCAGTGCAGGCAATATCCCTCCTGTGTCCATTGAAAACAGGGAAAACTCCTGCGGATTTCAATGGAGCAGGAGCTCCTAAACTAAAACCACACAAAAAACTGGCAGACACAACAGAGATTACAAGTGTTCCATCAGTCTACTTTTCATTGTTTGCACTATTACTTTGTATTTCTGGCAGTCACCACAGCCGAGGAAGGTGCTCATTTATGCTAGGTACTTTACAAGTGCATGGACAGTTGTGTGTGGGGATAAATTGAGATACATGAGATTCTGGGGGATTTCTGAAGATAGGTATTGAGATGCTGTTAGCTGTAGCCCAAAGAAGACAGTTTAAATAGCATTAACTACTTCATTGTTGATCATATAAACCAACATGTCCACCTGATGACCCATGCGTAGGAAGATAATTAAACACATGAATAATTAAGTATCAAGGCACTTCATCAACTTCAGCTGAACTACCCACATGCTTAAAGTGGTATACATACTTCAGAAACCTTCCCAGAGTTGGATTACAGTGCTTACCCAAGGGGATTTCCAGTGAAACTAAACAACAGTCTAATGGGTTTCTTAATGTTCTGATTTAAATTTTCCTTTGCTTAATTTCATTCCATGACCTCTAGCTATAACCGGGAAGTAGATGGGAGCTAGCAGGAACATGTGAAGTGAGACCTTAGTATGTGCAGTTTCAACACCTTTTCTTTATTACTTTGGACTGTGGCCATGAAGATCTTTTGCAGAAGATTAGAGGCCACTCCAAGGCTTGAGAGGCTGCAAAGTCATTTTGTATGCGCAGAAATAACTCTTAGTACTTAATGGTCACTCAAATACCTAACTTCAGAAAGTATATTTTAAACACAAATGTTTATTTTGCAGCTGTTTATTGCTTCATTTTAACATTGCTGGATCTTGCTCAAAATGACAAAACAACCCCTGATCCTGCAATGTGATCTACATTGATGGATCCAGATGTCACCATGATGGTGTCCAATTGACATTAGTGGGGCTCTGTATGGGCAGAGGGGTCTGCCCATATAGATGCAATTGCACAATCAGGAGCTGTTTTTAAAGGAAAGACCAGAACCAAACTCAAATTTCTGTTGCCTATAGCAGCGGACCAAGCTGTCTCTCATTAGTTTCCTTATGTTGGCAATGTTGTGTTAATGCACCAAATAATTTAAATTTTCTTAAAGAGTCAGACACTATTATGTGCCCCCTTTCAGCTCAAAAGTCAGTCACAAAGCACCCAGAACCCTAGTAGAATGAGTTTAGTACCTGGACATTTTGCCACTGGTATGCAAATCCTCAGAGTAAATAAGATCAATGTGTAACGAAAAGTCAGCCAGAAAGGGAGAGGCAGACTGAGATGCCACTCCAGCTGGCACACTGCAGGCTCTTTAAATAGACAACTCTTCAGTGCTCAGGCCAGGCACTTACAAAATAAAACCTAATTACAGCCAAAGTAATCAGACCCTCCCCCCACTGCAAATTGTCATGCATTTCATTTAACTGTTTTGGGGGAGTGGAAAATCCAACGGCACTCAGGCTTGGATGTGAGATTTCCCAGCTCCTGTAGGGTTTGTTTATTTCCAGAGGGGGAATACCTTTTAGTCAGCTCCCCTGCTTCTTGGGGCTCCACCAACCCTTCATCTTCTGCGGAGCAGGAAGCCTCCAACACACTCTTGCATTCAGACATTCTCTTCCTAGTTCAGGCCCCGGCTGTGAATGTTTACCCCCTTCTCAATCTCCCCAGGGTTGCCTAAAGCAACTGTCATCCCCTGCAGCCTTCAGTTCTCCTGACTCAGGGGAGTCTTTAAATAGAAGGCAGAAAAGTTACAACACCAAGTTGCTGTTGCTGCCTTTGTAATACCACTGGGTCCTAGTACCAACCTCATGCCACAATATTCTTTGAAAAATAAAGGGGCAAACCAGCACTTGGGGCCATTGCTCTGGCCTGCTCAAACCACTCACCAGGTCAGATTGTTTTTGCTTCCGAGAAATTTTCATAACAGTCCACTAAAACCAAGATCACTGACTAAACATAGTTACAGGAAGAAAGAAACACAAGTCAGAGCTTTGAGTGACCTTCCCAAACCAGAAAAATTTCACGCACACAGGGTGAGAAACACGGAGAGTGAAGTAAGAAAAGCTTAACAAGAAGAGCTCCATTAGGTCTTAGTATCAGCAATTAGGTGCAAAAGTAGAACTTAAATAGTGATTTAGAATGTTTTATTTTTGTGAACTATACTACTTAAAGGTCAAATAGAAGATGAATTTCATTAGGTCTTAGTATAAGCCATTAGAAGCAAAAGAAGAACCTAAAGGGTATTTTATAATGTTTTATTTCTGTGAACTAATTACTTATAAAGGTCAGATAAAAATATTACAAAATAAGCCTAAAATATACATTTTTATTAATTCTGCTGAAAGATGTCAGTCAGGTGTTCCTGATGTTTTAATAACATTTTTAGGCCTTGCTTGTATTCCCTATATTTGTTGAAGCATTGAACTACAGGTATTTCTGATTTCCCATTTTTATTACTCCAAGCTGAAATGCCAATTTTATTTCCCATGCACAGGAAGCAATTTAATACCATTGAATTGAAGATGGAGATATAAAAAGCATAGCAATTAGGTGTTTGGGTTATTAAGTGTTGGAAACATAAGATTGCCACAACATCTTGAAAAAAGGTGAGATAAACTTTGCCTTTTTTTTCCCCATTTGATAATTCTGCTACATAATATTTACTGAAGTATATGAAGACAAAGCAATTTGCTACAACTTAGAAGATGTGGCAGCCATCCAGCAAAATCTCATGTCTTTTACTCGCTTTCCATTTTCACATAAACTACAGTGCCTTTCACTGGGCAGATGCAAATTTTATCTTCAGCATTTCCAAATCTAAATTAATCAAATGAATCACTTGTGGTCATATTTGTAACATGGAGAGAAACCAACTGAGATTAAGAATACATAACTCCTAAATTAACTAGAACATTGTGTATTACACATTCACAGCATAAAGTTACTTAAACTATAATTCTATGCTCTTTTTGGCTCCCCAAACAAATAGCAAGTTGTCAATCAATCAACAAGCACTTTCTGGTATCACAAGGTTTGGAGAACCCATGCAACTAATTTCAGAGTATAAACCAGCTATATCCACCCTACATGAGAACCCTACTGCCAATTTCACCTGATCCAAGCCTTACCTATGCAGGACATACAGCTAGAGTAGCTTTATTCCCCTTCCCCAAACAGTGAGTCCCATCTTAGATGCATTATTTACTATAAACATTCTGCACCGGTCATTTCTTAAACAACTAAGTTTTAAACAGATACTTAACTTATGTAGATCAGATTCCAGATTTGGTCTTGGACACAGAGATGAAGGACAAGCAGCAAGAAAGATTCTTTAAACCCAGAGAGCAATATTATCTTCCCCTTAAGGTAAAACACTTACCCTTTAAGTATCTCTGTAGGAACACAGCCCCGTGGATCTTACAGGTATTGATTCAGTCCCGAGCATAGCGAGAGCAGTATCATTGCATGCTCCCACTAGCACTCATTCAAGTTATTATCAGACTACTGCTGTTCTCAACTCCTGCCTGTACCTCTCCAATTTAGCTTGCCCCATATGAAGACCAAAATAGATTAGACATACCCCTTTACAGCTCTTCTTACATGCATCACACTGTGGGTAAGAAATGTAAGATTGATTTACATTGGTATATAAAAGTACTAATGAATGTGCAGGAACACATGAAAAAACAAGAATGTTAACAAACCCACAGAGAATGGGGGCGAGGTGAGGGGAATGGAGAAGAGAGAGAGTGTCTGATTTCCTCTGTCGCAGACTATTACATTTCACCCTGCCAGCCCTATATTAGCATTAGGGATCTGTTTAAAGTGGCTCTTCCAAGAAGGGACCAGCCTTGATATAAGAATAGAAGAGATGGAGCTTTCAATTCCCTAGTTTGGTTCACTAGTTAATTACCAAAACTGTAAAAAGTGCCTTTTATCATCTGACTTGGCCTGGTTTCAGGCAAATGATTGTTACACTTCTTTGTGGTAGATTAAGGGGCCCCTTAGTATGTGATATTCTCTCCCCATAAAAGTTATGTATAAATAACGTAACTCATCATGAAACTACAGTTAATTCCTTCTCTGGTCAAAGAACTTGCTGACTGAAGGATTTAACTTAAACCTGTTACAGGTCTTCAGCCAAATGAACTCCAACCTCCAAGGCCTTTGGCCTGTACTCTTAGAACTTACTTGCATGTACTGCAGGGTAAATTTTTCAAGTTATTTTAATTAAATTCTGTTCAAGTCACCATCTTCCCCTCCTGGAATCCAGAGAACCAAATTAAGGACAGAACACCTCATGACAGATTTAATAGAGTAACACCACCAGAGCAGGACCCTCTGGAATTCACCTCTTATACACAGTGTTTGCTGGCAACCTATTTCCATCAGACTTCTACATGGACTCAGTTCTGAGGGTTTGATTAAATTCATAAAAAATCTCCAGGAAAATGAGAACAACGTGTGGGACAAACTATGATCACGTTCTCTTTAATCTCACTATTGACCACGTAAATCCAACAGGCAGTGAAATACACTGGGGGTTTGCAATACAGAGACCATGTGCAGATTTCAATAATGCCACTACTGGAAACATTTTTTTGCAGTCACTCAGCAAAGCCCTAAAGTGCTACTACTAACAGATTTACCTGAATCCAAAACTACTTAGAATTTAAGATAACCCCCTCACACTAATTAGATTCTATACATGGAAAATTGTAATTTTTTCATAATTTTCCATGTACAGAATCAAATTAGTGGGAGGTCATCTTAAATGCATCCCCTGCACCTCTGCTGCTGTGGCAGGGAAAGCAACAGCAAGGGTTGAGGGGCCAGACCTCTGCCCCTTATCCCCTCTCATGGCTGCCTGTTTCCCACTATGTGCCCCCTTGTCCCCATGTCTGTCCCCACCACGCCCTGCTCCCACTTGCAATCTGGCCCCCACACCCTGCTCTCCTCGTTGCCTGCCACCTTCTTCTGCAGCTCTGCTCTGCTGTGGACCAGTCGGCACTAGTGACAGCGCTCCTGCCAGGGAGAAGCAGTGCCAGCTACTAGCCAGGCTGCATCAAGGCTGGAAGGATTAAAGATGGAGAAAGTAAGGAGGGAGGGGACAGCTGGGTATGAGGACATGGGAGTAGGGGAGCAGGGAGTAGAGAAAGCAGGAGGGTAGGCACAGGGAGGGGAATGGTTTTGGGAGGGGGTTGGCTGCAAGTTTCCCCCCCTGCCATA